CAGTTAGGGGGCAGGGGTCCCAGGAGGGGGCAGTCAGGGGACAAGGAACGGGGGGGAGGGTTGGGGGGTTCTGGGGGGGGCGGGAAGTGGGAGGACGGGGGGGGCTAGGGCGGGGCTCCTCCCGTCCTCTTTTTTGCTTGCTGAAATATGGTAACCCTAGGCAAAGAGCCAGGCCTCTGAACTGCCAGGCCCCCATTACACCAGACAAATGGTCTGCCCCGAGCTTATCCCAGTTTAACTGGGAGCTGTCCTTGAACAAAAGAACAGGTACTTCTGGCTGCCAACAAAGAATGAACGAGAGAAGCCCATTAAGATTAGGATTCTATCCCTGTCACCTCATGAAATAAGGGCCCTGCTCACAGCCCCCTGCACGAAATCAGGCAGTGACACCCGCAGACAAATGGAGCCTCAGAGCAATTCATCACAAATCAGTCAAGCCACATGTTTCAGACATGGCCCCAGAGGGAAAGGGAGGGGGTGTTCAACAGACAGAGGAGCAGAATAGCCCAGCAAGGTTGCATGATGCCCTCTCCTTGGGGGAGAGAAAAGACCACGGCAAATGCTCTGGCAGACCAGCTCAGTGTGTGAGAGACAGCATTGCACACACTCTCCCCTAGACGCTGGCCTTCACCCACAGCCCACACATCAGCACGGTGGCTTGCAACCATCATGATATACTGGGAAAGGACTTCTGCTGCAGGTCCAAGCAGCTCCCACTATCCCAAGTCAGAGCTGCTGTTCCCTTGAGCTGGCCCGCAATCACATGGGCTGGAATTGCTTCTCCCTCACTTATGTTTGCCATCCGTGAAGTTCCCCAAGCCTCCACTGGATTCTCTCCCTCACTGGTAGGCAAAAGCACTGCTGTCAGAGGTCAGAGTCACAGTTTCACTGGGAAGGAGGCCCTGGAAAACTTTAACCTGGAGTAGGGCCCTTCTCAGAACAGATCTTAGGAGCAAAGCACTGAAGTCAGATTTGCTGCACAGCCAGTCAATTTTAACATCCACAAAAAGCCATTGTTGTTTGCCTTCAAGTGAAGCTAATTTTTTTGTCCTTGTCGAAGAATTCCTGCGGCCTTGGATGCTTTCATCATAAATCTTTAACATTATTCACTTAGCACTAGGCTAATGCAAGGTTTAAAGAAATTTCCACTTTTCAAAATTATTTTGACATTTGACCAGACATCAGATGCAGCTCCATACAGTGACTAATGACCTGCTTTCTGTGAATGGGGGGGAAAAAAACTTAATTATGTCCATTAAATTACTTCAAATATTTTTCCTAAGAGAATATGAATTATTTAAACTCAACACAGAGAAACCTGAAACATTAGTAAGAGCCTTCTGGGAGTCGCTATGTAAATTCCCCACTCCAAACAGATGGGAAGAGCATGGCAAGCTGCCACGCAAGCACTGAAGCAATGAACAATACCAAGATTGCAATTCAATAGTTTTATTATGGTCTTCCTAAAGAGGGCATTAAGTGAATCACTACTACCAAGAGCACCATTAAAGGCTTCCCCGCCTTCCCGGGGAGGAGCAGAGACGGCCGGCACACGGCATCCTGTAAAGGGAATTTAAGGTTTGCATGGCGCCAAGTATTCATTTGACAACTGAACTGTTGTCCTTAGGCAAAGCTCACTCTAACACACGGGTGCATTTCTACCACAGAGAAATGTTAGCACTTTAGGACATATTTACGTCCTTTCGCCTCTTGCCTGTTCACGGAGTGAGTTTTCGGCAGCCTTGCATGGCCTTCCAGAAGCAGAGGGTAGCAGGGGTTTCACCCAATCTGCATTTTGGCAATAGCTACAGAGCCACTGCAATCTTAAAAATAAAGTTACCCTGACAGTCACTGAGATAACCTCCGTTTTAGAATCATAGACTCACAGGGTTAGAAGGGACCACAAGGGTCATCTAGTCTAACCCCCTCGGCCACGATACAGGATTTGTCGTGTCTAATCCATCCAAGACAGATGCTAGCCAGCCTCCTTTTGAAAAAACCTCCAGTGAAGGAGCTTCCACCAGCTCCCAAGGCGTCTGTTCCATTGTCCTACTGGTTTTACAGTTAGGAAGTTTTTCCTGAGCTTTAATCTAAATCTGCCATGCTGTTGTTTGAGCCCATTGCCTCTTGTCCTGTTCTCTGTGGCAAGAGAACAACTTTTCTCCATCTTTTCATGGCAGCCTTTCAAGTAGCTGAAGACCGCTATCATGTTCCCCCTCAATCTCCTCTTTTCCAAACTAAATATAACCAGTTCCTTCAAACTTTGCTCATATGGCTTGCTTGTCCCATCCATAGTTTAGATGTGGGACCAATCAAAGTCAACACAAGCTGACCTGGACAGAAAGAGACAGAGAAAGAGAGAGGTGTGCCATGATTGGGAAGACAAACCAGCTATAGAAGGACCCTGGAGGTCCACAGGGAAGACTGACCCCAACCCAAAGAATGCTCTGGAGTAGGGAGGAAACTAAGGCAAATGCATGAAAAGTTTATTATTTTTGTCTAGATCTGTGTATATCTTGTACGATTAAGAGCAATCATGTTAGATTCCTGTGCAAAGGCTGTATGTGCATTGTATTACACTAGTCTCAGGCCCTTGAAATGTTAGCCTGTGAGACCAGCATGCTCACACAGACGGAGCTCTGGAACAGGGTGTGTTTAAGCTATGAGGGAGTACAGTGGGAGGGGAAGTCGGCACTGATCACAGGGGCTGGACCGTTGGACATGGAGGCCTCAGCTCTCAAGAGGGGTAGCTAGACAGAGGATCTGCGTGCTGGGACCCCAGACTAAGGGCAGTACATGAACTGGTTAGGCCTCAAGCACTCAGGATCCGGCAATTGGTTCCCCTCACAGCAACCTGGACAGTGCCCAACAGGGGACACTTGACTAGTCCGTGACAAAAAGGTGCACAAGAACTTCCTAGTATTTGCACAGATAATGCCACTCTCAGCATCCTGCCCTTGAAATTGTTTGAACAGATGCATCTTAGTTATTTTGACATTTTTAACTTGATTTACAGAAGCATTTGCTACAATGCTGGGCTGAGATTAGATATTGAACAAGAACTAAGAAAAAGACGTTAACAAAATAATTCTCCTCCATTCCAAAAGCATTTCCAAACACTGATTCTAAGGACAGCACCAGCCCCCTGGCTCACTCAGTTTCTCTTACCATCATTTTAAAAGAGAGAAACTGAAGTGAATTTCAGCATCAGACTCATTAAAGTGACACTAGTTAAGTAGGGGTTATATCCATTTTTACAGCTGTCATTAAATGTAACCTTGCAAGCTGTAAAGTCACTGAATTATTAAGTTGAGTGTAAAGCACGACAATGGGGATATTAATGTTCTAGAGTCATTTTATGGCACGTACAAAGTTATGGAAAATACCTGAAGCTATTCTGAGCCTTTGGCATGTCTGTTTAGTCAAAGATGCTGCTGAATCAGTCGGCACAGTACAACCACCGTCACAAAAGACAACTCTCTTATTCCCTGGTCCCCAAATAAAGCTCTGGTTATTGGATTAGTAAATCAGAATGAACTAAAAAAAAAGCCACAACACAAGATTGACAAAATGCAATTCCATTTGTTTACATTGTGCTCTGATACCAGGGTGCTGGACACAGTATAACAATGAGATGGACTGATTGGGGCCTGCAATAGAAATAGAGCATGAATGGCCATTTTTACCTTCACACCCATCATCCTTTTCTTCAAAGCCAGCACTACATGTACATTTCCCAATGGGGACTAGCCACTCCCCCTCCGCACTGCAGTGCATCCTGGGAGGACTATCCAGGTCTACTTCAGAATGATTGACGCAGGTGCCCTTAACTTCCACCAGGGTTGCAAATGCTGCTTCTGCCACAGTGTCTGGAAACACTGCCAAGTTCTGCACTGTAGAGAGGCACTTTTTGTAATAAACCCGCACGGAAACCAGAGCCACGCAAGCACCCACGTCCTGGAAGCCCAGGTGGAAGCCTCTCTTGCTCAGGTGCCCAATCTCCCTCAGCTCTGTGTTCAGCTTCATTTTGCGCTCGCCCAAGTCCCCCTGGGTGAAGCTCTCATCGGCAGCGATAGTGTCAATTTTTGTATGCTTGTTCTCACGGATGCTGCGGCCCAGATCAGAATCTGACTCAACATAGTAGAGGTTGAAGGTCTCCTTGCACGTGCCAACCACTCCAGGGATGCTGTTACAGTCCCTCAGGGTGAATTTCAGCTCAATGAAGATTCTTTGGCCACTGCACCTGGCAATCCAGCCAGTCTGCAGCCAGTTGTTTTGATTTGACTCCATGACGTTGCAGACCTGGTAGGTACGAATCGGTTTGTAGTTTTCATCCACTCCACTGATTTCTTCCCACTATAAAAAGAACACACACACACGTCATGATAACTGCTATTTAGTGAGAACCAGTCTTCCAAGTAAAACCCCCTTCATACTGTAAAAAGCAACAGAGTCCTGTGGCACCTTTAAGACTAACAGACGTATTGGAGCATAAGCTTTCGTGGGTGAATGCCCACTTCATCAGACGCGTCTCTGTTGCTTTTTACAGATCCAGACTAACACAGCTACCCCTCTGATACCTGACCCCTTCATACTGAGATCATTATAAATACAGCCACTAAAAACCCCTTAACCTATGCATTATTATAGCAGACATTAAAAAAACCTGAAGCCCACAGAATACATAAATCCCAACACAGCCAGTAACAGAGAGGATGGACACAGGATTTAATGTCTAAAACAAGATCTCATTTCTAAAAGCCAGAAAAGTCTTGTCTACAAAGCTAGAGGCAAGGTGCACAATCCCCCAGTTCGCTCCCGCAGGGCCAGGGATGGCTTTCCCTGTATTAGTGACTAAAGTGTATTATCAGGGCCAGTTTCCAATCCCATTTGACTGACCTCTTCTCTCCAAGCACCTACTGAACTGTTCTGAAGATAGCGACTGCCAGTCTCTCTGCAACTCCACTCGCTTTAGGTCATAAGCTGTATTTTAGTATAGCGCAGCAGCAACTACAGCTCCCCAGTGGGGAAACTACCCTCCTAATTAGAGCACCAGCGGGGGCGGGGGGAAAAAGGAGAGAAAGAAGAGAGGAAGTGTCAGGCCAACTTCCTTCTCCTGCCCACCAAATGACAGGCGAGAAGGACTCCACCCTCCCTGCCAAGAATGAGCAACTCAGGTCAGAATCGGGGGCAAAGTCCCCAAGGCCGACTGTCTCTCATGGCTTTACCTTCCCAGACAGGTAGTATTTGTCACCCAGAAGCAGCTCACACTGCCAAATATCAAAAGAAGCTAGAGATGGCTGGGGATGAAGGAGCCAGGTGCCTCAAACCCAACAGGGACAATCTCCGGCCTGAAAGCAAGCCAAGGACATTGATGCTCTCAAGGAACAAACTCACCCCAAGTGTAAGTGAAGTGGCATTTCCCTGCAGCAGCCAGGGAAGCGTTGATTGATGAGATGGTGATTAGATCATCAGCCCTGAGAAGGAAGTGATCTGAGGGCTGCTCACAGCAAGTCCTTCCACAGGTGGCAGAGTTTGTAGTGAGATAACCAAAGAAACCCGCTAATGGAGTTCCTTCCCAGTCACCCACAGGCTCCAGTCCAGCTGACCCCTGAGCCAAGCTCCAAACATGCAGTGTCACTTGTGAAGAGAGAGTTAAGAGCAGCAGGAATCATCTGATTTCACTGATTTGCCCTTTCAGGTGAAAGTGGGCACAGCTATAGACCGAGGCGGCACCGCAGCCATTCACTTAGACAAACTACAAATCATGCAGGGGTATGGGGTCAAGTTCCCCAAGGATTCCAGAGATCCTGCCCTTTTTGCTCATCAGGGAACAGAGTGAATCCTTAAGGCAACTGGCCTGGAAAGTGAACTAGAGAGAAAAGCTTTAATTGACTTGAGTTCCTTTTCTTAGTACAAGAATGCAAAGCGCATTGTCATGAGCTATGCTCAATTTGCAGTGTTTCTCTGACATAATCAATACAGTCACTCAGCTCCTCTCCCCGGCTGTCTGGGATTGACAAACATCACCGTTCACGTCAAGGCAGCACTGTGTCAGCTTGTCAAGCCTGCTGTTTACATCACGGAGATGTGTCGCTGCTTCTCCGCTCACCTCTGGGAGCTGGATTTTCAGCAGAATTTTGTCTACCCATCATTCTAATGCTATTTAGTGGCTGAAGGCAGATACCTATCTAGACAAGCAATAGCCAAAAGCAAAGGCCCTCTACAGTATAGAGCACTGGACACCCCTGAGGAGATCATCGGGATCAAGAGTTCTGTCTTCATCTCCTTGAAGGGAGTGCACCAACGAATGCACTTCCGCAGGTGGCGTTACTCAGCTGCTGAAGCTAGTTCGCTCGAGCCACGAAGCCATTCCCATAAATCCAGACAGCCTGGAATCACCATGCAGAATTAGGAGAGATTTGTGACACGTGTAGGCGGCGAGTAGTGCTGGACGCACACCATTGCTCTAAATCAGGGTTAACTAGGCTGAGCGGGGGTGGGACGGGTGAGATGCTGGAGCTGTATTATAGTGACAGAACATCTCTGCGTGTGTTTTCACTTACCCCATTTGATGGGTGCGACGTCCAGCCCAATTCGGCCTGCGACTCCTTAGAATCCAGCAAAACAACTGCATGGGAGACAGAGGTGTTAAAAAGTGAATTTATAGAACTCACACCCATCTCAGCCACCCTGACAAACTACACTGAACATCCAGCCTCTGAAATGACCATTTGGAGACAGTATTCAGACCACTTCTCACTTTTAAAGAGGCACAATGTGCCTCAGACGTACACCCCACGGAGCAGTTTCACAGGAGTGACACTGCCGTGCTTTAAAGGAAACCCTGAAACAGCTTAAAATTCCAGTTTGTCACCAGCTGACACTAGAAATGTAATGATGACAACTACCACATCTGCAAACTATTTCAAAGGCCATTTTGCCTTCCCTGACCAGCTGAGACCAGAGTTCCAGGTTCTGCATTTGCCCATTTCTACTGTGCCAACAACAGCAGCAAAACTGCCAGAGGACATGCTGTTTTGGGGGTCTGGAAGGTCAGCAACTATCAGGGTAACCACAGAGCCCTGAAATGGGGCAGGTGGGGTGAGAAAGAGGGGGGAACAGACCATTAGCTTGTAAGTTAATTGAGAACTGTTAAGTTCAAGAACTTACTGCTGCTAATGTAGAGTCTTTAATCTCATTTCTAAAACTTTCCTGTGTACCTCTGACTAGCCAGCTGTGGTAGCGCTACCTCACCAAGCTTCAGCAGACCTACCCAGCTACACTGCAATTGCATCTAGGAGGGATGTCTATTTTACAGTGGCAAGAAGAATTCCAGGATACACATTATGGCGCACAATTACACCTGAGTGGTGAAATGCTGGTGTCACTGAGGGTCATGGCAAAACTCCCACTAACGGCACAGCTTTCATGCCAGAGGATTAAAACACTCAGATACCATGGTGATGGGTACTAGTAGAAAAATCTTTAGCTAGCTAAAGACAGCTAAGCATTGGGCTCTGAGTAGTGTCTTGCAACACAGCTCTTCATACTACAACCAAAAGATCAGCTAAGAGACATGACTCACGTGTGTAAGTCTGGTCTAGAAATACCATGACATTCGAACAAGTGATTTTCAGTACTAATCCCATGACAACCACTTGACATTAAATACCACATTGAAATTGACTTTAATGCTTGAGCTTAGGTCAGGTTAGCCCACGCGGCTCCTTGGAGCAAAGCACAGTGTTCCACTTTACAAACATCAAAACCTTTACAACAGCAGAATTGCTGGAAATTCTCCCATTTTCTGATCCAAGTTACTCAAAAGGGATTGGGCGAGGTCAGTTTCCAACACATTGGAAAATGGTGCTGCCCTTTCCAAATGCACCATTGCCACTACCAGGCCTGAGATACTAGATATCATTTTACACTAAATATAAACGCCCACTTTGATTCCCATATGTAATGGCCAAACATCACAGGTCACCAGCAGGGACAGATCCTGAAACAGTCGAGATGACCCAACAGGTCTTTTCTACTCTCAGTAGCTGTAATTTCCATGCCGGGGCTATACCAAGTCATTCATTTATTCCAGTGTAGAAATGAGCCAAGTATCTTGGCAGAGTACCCCAAGAGAGGCAGGATCAAACTCACTCACCCCTCTGAAAGTCATAAAGACACCATCTCTCTGTAGTGGGATTCTCTTTAAAACTAACAGGATATAAAGGTTTCAGAGTAGCAGCCGTGTTAGTCTGTATCCGTAGTCCACGAAAGCTTATGCTCTAATAAATTTGTTAGTCTCTAAGGTGCCACAAGTACTCCTGTTCTTCTTTTTGAGGATATAAAGGCTAATCTCTACAGGCTCATGCCAAAAATAACAGGCTGGAACCATCTGCATTTTTATCACAGTGATAAACATTTCACTGGTGTAAGTGTTGCACATGGGCCTTTTATTGGAAGAGACGATCACCAATAATAATAAAAATGTTCATTTTTAATACCCACTTTGGAATATAAAGACTGTCAAACATTTAAACTGATACAATGAGGATATTAAGGATAACTGCTAGCTCTCAGGAACTTGTGCTAGAACTTCAGTCACAGACAAACAGAGAGTAGCTTGTTTATTCAGTTAAGGGACAATAATTAAAAAACATGGTCGTTACTGATTCCCTCCTGAGTAAGGCGGTGTGTCTGTCATGGAAGTCATGGATTCCGTGACTTCTGCAGCAGCCGGTGCTGGTTCCAGCAGCAGTAGTTTGGGTGTGTGGAAGGGGGCTCAGGGCTGGGGCAGGTGGTTGGGTGTGTGGCGGCGCTTACCTGGGGTGCTCCCCGGCTCCCACCAGCATGTCCCTGAAGGTCCTAGGCAGAGCAGCCCTGGGGGCTCCATGCACTGCTCATGCCCACAGGCACCACCCCCGTTCCCCGCGAATGGGAGCTGCAGAGCTGGCGCTTGTGGCGGAAGCAGCGCGCGGAGCCCCCCTGGCTGCCCCTCCCCCTAGGAGCTACAGGGACATGCTGGTTGGAGCCAGGTAGGTAGCCTGCCAGCCCTGCCAACCCTTCCCCCCTCCCAGCACCAGTGGGGATCGCAGGCCACAACCCCCCCCCGGAACCCCCACACCCCTCCTCCCCCCTGAGCACCTGCGGTCCCCCAGCCCAAGTTTTAGTTAGGGGTATATAGTAAAAGTCATGGACTGGTTTACTGCCTGTGAAATACCAGTGACTAAAAAGTAGCTTTACTCATGAGTTTGCAAACTGTGAGCTTGGTACAAAGTTTTCCCCAGAGAATAAGGGATTCCCAAGCCAACCTGAGGATTGGGGGGGGGAGGGCAGAGATTCAGACAAAACACAACCCATGACCTGCTTGCCTCTCAATAGCAGAGAATAAGTAGTCTCATCTCTACCTTCGGTTTCCATAGAATAAAAGAAGTTTTTATTCACATGCAGAATTCCCCCCCCCCCCAACATCAAGTTTAGTTATCTGTAAGCCTTAAATTGCCAGCCTCTGCGGTGTATTCCTGGCAGATGCTAGTTCTTCCATCAAATGATATTACTGCTGATTTGGCCATTTGCTATGCCCCCTGCCAGACCCACCATATTGTACCACTTCATAAATTCCGCTGATCATCACCAACGGTGCTTAGCGGCATTAGGCTTCTCAGTATCTGAGCAGCAAATTGAGAGAGGGCTGTTTCTGGACAGCACAACGAGCAATACTTAAAAGAAATATAATGTGTATGAAGTGAAGTTCAGAGTGAACTGAAAACAAACCTTGGCTCTCTCCGTCCTCGATCATTCATTTGCAGGGGGGTGTTGGTTACAATGCAGACCACACATTTTACTCGAAAGCCCAATCAAATTGGCCACAATCCACTGGGCATAGTTCAGCTAATGCTCTTTTCCTACATTATAGTAGAGCGGATTACAGCGATGCTGAAATTATTTACAGCAACAAATTCTGACAAAACCAGTACTTCTCGCAAATAACCTCCCTCACTGCATTTCATGGTCTGCAGCTTTCATTTCGAGCTGTGAATGTTCAAATGAAGCACCTGTATTTCCAGGTCACAGCTGAGTTTAGAGGAATTCTTATTATTATTCACCACACTTGTGCGACTATTTACATAATCACCAAATAGCCCAGTGATGGGGCATTCGTTATTTGAAAATCTAGAGCGATGAATAAAATCCCTCAACAAATGAATGACAATTTAAAAAACAGACCGCAAGCGCAAGTCACTGGCAGCTAGTTTCTTCCTCTAGGCTCAGGGGTTTCTGATTTGGGGAGGTGGGGGGAAGAAGGGAGACTCAGTTTTCACATCACTTTTTTAGACACTCTTCTGCCCTTTCCAGATAGAGCTCTTTGTGGTTAAAAACGTCAGCAGGACACACTAGCTATCTCATCGTACCCACAATTCCAGGGGGATTATTAGGCAAAACATCTGCACATAACCCATGTTAACATAGTTTGGCTCTGCGTGTCCCTCTCGTGGTTACATGGGCAGGTATGAGGCTGCTGTTACCTCCAGCTAATAGACACAGACCTGAAGCTCAGGCAGTATCTGCTTATGCTTTTAAATCCACAGATCTTGGGTTCACTCCTCACAAACGACCCAGCCAGCAGCTTCCTTACATGCCCATAATGGAGTCTTATTGTATTAGAAGTAAAATGGGTGTGGGAGAGGTGGGTGGAGGATGAAGAGGAAGCCCTACCGGGTCTCCTTCCCTACCTCAGTGGTGTTACTCTGGGCTGCTTTGGATTTAATTACAACAAAGTTTGACAGACACAGGGGCTAACAAGGAAAACAGTCAATGCAGAACCTTACACAATTTACACTAACAACTCATTGTCCTCTAGCACCTGTCTACTAAAGGCCCCAAAGCACTCTACAAGCAGTAATGAATGAAGCCACACATCATCCCTGGGAGGAGCACATTGTCCTCACCTTACAGATGAAGAAACAGAGGCAAAGAAGGTTGTGAGAAGTGCTATAAGTTGCGTCTGATGAGTATTTTTGGACTGACCGAGGTGATGTTTGTACTGACTGGCTGGCTTCAGCTTTGTTTGACCCAAGTGTATTCTTAGCAAGCTTCTTAGTCAGCAAACTTGCTTACAGCCAAGGCTGCATAGGACAAAGGAGAGGTTTTGACCACAGATATTACATAAACTGAAGGGAGTTATTGGGACAGATACGCAAAACGTACCACCAAGAGACAATTAGAGAAAAATCAGGTAAAAAGTCCCTACACAGAGTAAAGAGTCAAAGTGACCTGGCCAAATTTGCATGATCAATGGTAATAAAGCAATTAGAGAAAAGAAATAACAGGAAATTAGCAAAGATAAACAGAAGTTATGCCAATTAAAGTTTACACGTGTACTGTATGAATTACATAAGATATGTAATATTCATGATACTTAATGGTTATTGAAAGAGAACTAACGAATACGCAATTTGGATGTATATAATACAGGATAGATTATCAGAGACAGTCAGAGCTTTGTAGGAGAAACCCATTGTGACCCGCTGATGCCCCAGGAGAAAATAGCTAGCCACTGTCTTTTTCCTCTTCCCCCCCACCCCCTCTCTCTCTCTATGTCATTCATTACTTTAATAGTAATTGCAATCC